TTCACACTGTTGACCAGAAGTACACGTTGCTTGATCGTCCGGTGCTTGAGACGGTAGAGGAAACGACTCGGTAGCGTTTGGTGTATCCTTCAACACGTATGACGAGAATCGTCTGCCAAGGGGACCAAAGTTAGGGCTTTTTTAACGCTGAAAGAACAGTAAGCCACACACAAATACTAACTACAGGAAGAAAAATAAAATTTTCGGATTAATTGTAACAATTATTCGAAGCAAGATCTAAAATATTAAAAAAAAATAATAATTACAATTAAATAAAATATACAGAAATAAACGTAGGTAGATTTCAATGTATTTTTTAGATTAACTAGAAATTACCATGTATTTGTGCAGTTTGTAAAAAACACTTTTGATTTCTCAATTTGATTATCTTCTTTAGGATTTGAAGACTTAATATATTCTTATATCTTACGTAATTTATAAAATAAAAAGTACTATTGCTGAACATGCACAACACTAACTATTATGTGTACACATACATGTGAAATAAACAGTAGTTCAAATTTAAACCATGCAATATAGACTAATTCTTTTATCTACAAATGTAACCATTTTTATAATGATCAAATAAATTAATAATGAAAATAGCATAATATCCAGAATAAGACACAAATTTAAATCCAAGCTATGATGTTAAATTTTGGATATCTTACACAAAAATATAACAGAAAAAATGTATGATTTTTCAAATCTCTTAAATATTTCAACAGTGTACTTATTATAATTTTGTAGAAATATCCCTAATTCTGATATTGGGACATCATAATAATTGTACAATAGGAAACATAAATGATTCACATCTAATATACAGTGAATCACAAAAGTATTCATACTTGTACAATGAATATTGAACATATCTAGAATTGTGATAGTCGTAATTTTATGACATCACCTTTACAATTAAATACATTTTCCAAACGCTTACATTTTATAGTCCAACTATCTAGTATATTTTATTTCAATAGTGTTTAAGATTTCCATTAGCTTATATTTAAACATTTCTTGACTATAAATTTCATCATTTTTTCCTAGTGCTGTTCATAAATTCTCAATGTCTTTACTCTTAAATTGCCATTGGGAATACTGTAAGTTTTCAAATAATAATTTTAGAAAATATTGAGAAAAACCCAGAATGCTTCAGGGGTATTTGGAATGAATGGAAAGGCATGAAGAACTTACTCGCCGCTCAATGTGTTAAATTTCTATATTTATTGTATTGAATTATTTTTCAAAACTGTGTATATCAATCGAAATCTTACTTAATACAGTATATACTTTTTATCGATAAGAATCCCATAACATTCATCCTAAAACAAAAATCAACCATTTGAAGTCTGCAAATGATACGGTACAAATAGTTCTGTGACTCACTGTAGTAAACTCCAGGAAGTTAGACGACAAACTCCGTAAGCATCAGTGATCTATTGTGTTCTGACAAATCTTGTATGATATCAATTTGATATTCTAAGAGAAGACATACCTCTCCGCTCTTACCCAAGATTAACCAGACTTTCATGGTTTCTTACCGTTCATGGTTCCCAGAAAGAACGTTTTTAGACTCTTGACAGTAAGGCTCGTGTTTTTCAAAAACAGCTGTTCTACTCCAAGTCTGTCCATTGCCGACGCTAATGCTACTCGCCAAGATATCGAATATAGGATCATCCTCGACTGTACTTGAGAAGTCTATTGTCTTAACAACTTTGTCAGCGCTGAGCCTCCACGAGGTTCTTGAGTTCGTGAGTTTTGCTTGGAGTATCAGAAAGCAAAACAGATAGCTGACGACGCGACCGTCGATCCCAATAACTTGCATCCTCCCGTTTTACGAAAACCGATAGTACACGTTTACTAACTCTGAAAAATCGTCTGCTTCTACTAAAGAAAGATTATATTGATTTTCATTCGGAAGACTCTTTTCTCTAGGTATTATCGAGCCACTGCCAACGTTTCCAGTTTACTATTTCGGTGTCTCTAGGAATATCAGATGTTCGATGAGAGCGTTCGAAAAAGTTAATGCTCACTTAGCTGTTCAGTGAGCGGAGTTTTCGGACCAGTGGCGCCATCGGTGGGAGAATGCCCAAGTTTGTAGTACCAATTAGTTCCTACTCTTAACGCTAGATGGCGATAGCGATGTCAGTAAAGTACGTAAATGGCGAACAACTAGTTTATAAGGAAATAATGAGATATATATATATACATATTTTGTAAAAGATATAATTGTGTAAAACTGATGTACACAAAGTGGAGCGATATGGAAAATGCCAATGCACCATAAATAAAACAAACAAATGAACAAGTAAATGGCGTCATCTAGCGTGAAAACTAGGAACTATTTATCGACTAACTTGGGCGTTTTCCCATCGATGGCGCCACTGGTACGAAAACTCGCTCACTGAGCAGCTAAGTGAGCGGTGGCCATTCTGGGAGCACCCAATTTCTTAATTCAAATTTTATATTACACGTTACAATCTATTTTTGAAAAATAGATCTATACATTTCAGTCAATGACAGTCATAAAAATACAGACGATATAGAGTTGTAATTATTTACAAAAAATAACTATCTTTGAACTTAATTTTTATCTTTGCTGTTTGAGAAAAATATAGCATACCAAACCAAAACCACTTCTACATACAAAACAATTAATGCGAAAGTTCGTCATTAGTTTATCTTGATTTATCCCGCTATAAACATAATATAAGCTCACCTTTGAACTCACCTGTCCCTGCTGGTATGGTCTGATAATGCGTGTATCGCAGTGCATTGTAAACAGATAACCCCCATAACCCCCTGAACATAAGCATCGTGCTTCTTATTTATTTACGAATTTTTAGTAAGGAACATGGAAAACGAAAAGTACACAAATAATATTGAAACATCTGAAACGAACACAGAACCCACGAATATTTGTGATAAGGAAACTTGTCATGATGCTAATCAAAAATTATCGGAATTAAATCCGAATATGAGTAAACGTCAGTTGAAAAAAGTAAAGAAAAGAGAAAAATGGTTGGAACGAAAGGATGAGAAAAGGTTTATTTTTCGATACTTTAATAAATATGTAGAAATACGTTAATTTCATCACATAATTGTAACTTTGTGTAAATTAGACAATGATTATAGATATTGCAATAACGAAACTACTAATGAAAATGGTTCTGTTTCAAAGATTAAAAGAACGAGAAAAAGCAAGACGAAAACGTGCATTTGCTCGTGCAAACAATATAGACCTTGGACCATCTAGGAAAGCATTGAAAAGAAGTACAATGGCAGATAGTAGTTGTAAAGTTGGAGTGACTATAGATATGTCTTTTGATGATCTAATGATTGACAAGGATATTGCAAAATTAACTAAACAGATATTAAGATGTTATACCTTGAATAGAAGGGCTGTCGCGCCGATGCAATTTTCTCTTACCAGATTTGATGGAAAGTCAAGGAGTCACATGCAGAAGCATAATGGATATGAACATTGGGATGTATGTAATGTTTTTCAATGTACTTACTAGTTCATTAGGACATTTACATGTTCTACTGGTAGATTACTGGTAAGCTCTACTGGTAAAATACTGGTATATTTTATAGGTAAAATTTTACACAGAATCATATTTGGATGTTTATCCAAAAGAGAAAATTGTGTATCTCACTAGCGAATCAGAAGTCATTATCGATCATCTGGAACATGATTGTGTGTATGTTATAGGTGGTCTTGTTGATCATAATAGTCATAAGGTAAGCTAGGTCTTTCAATTTGTATAAATCTTCTTATATACTATTTACATTTTTAGGGGCTCTGTCATAAGGTAGCTGTACAGGCTGGAGTAAGGCACGGCCGATTACCTCTAGACAAATTCTTACAAATGAAAGCTAGAAAGGTTTTAACTGTTGATCATGGTAAGCCTAATCTACATATAAAATTAATAATCCAATGTAATGCACACAAATTTTTCAGTGTTCGAAATTTTGCTTAAAGTTAGCGAAGGAAGAACATGGCAAGAAGCATTTTTACAAGTGTTACCAGAAAGAAAAAATGCTCAACCCATTGTATCCTTAGAAGAAAGTAAAGACACACCAAATACTTGTAATAAAGAAGAAATTGTTTGTCATACAAATGGTATAGTAGACACTAAAGTGAAAATTAATGATATTGAAAACACAGATCATATATGTAAATGATAACATTGTGTTGTAGACACAAAAGTCAATATAATATTGCATTGTACATAGGTGTAACTGTTGTTACAAATTGAATTTAACTTCCTTGGTATTGTATAATGCAAAATTTCGTATCAGAAGATTGTTTCATTTTTATAATTTTCTATTGTTATTGTCACATTACATATATCTATTAATGCAGTATGTTTTTTAAAAGAACATATGTTTATATTGATTAATGTATACATATACGTATATTGCTATTAATAAATAACATCTAAATGCAAAGAATTTTAATAAGGAAATGTAACTTTACTTTTAAATAAATCGTGTATTACGCGTACATAAAAATGTATAAGGGATTTAGAGTGAAGTAATAGTATGAATTTATACATTAAGTAATTTAAATAAATTAAAGATGTTTGTTTTATTGAAGGTAATTATAACAGATTTACTTTAAACATGATATCTCTTATGCAGAAGAAAAATAGGAGGTTAAACAAAAATTTCATATATTAATCAATTTTTCTCAAATTTTGCAAAAAAATTTTCAAAATATTCTATATTTTTGTACTATTTGTTTATATACTTCACTTACATTGACAACTTTAATACCAGTATAATGCTATTATCATGACTAGAAAATTGTTATTCGATTATTACGAAACAGAATGAACCAACAGAACTAATTAATTTAATTTTATCCTTAATAATTTTAGTTTCAATTATTGATACATATTGAAACTTATTTTTATGCTTCGTATTCAAATAAAGTGAAAACGTACAATTTTTGCAAAATTTGGGTAAAACTGATCAAATGCTTCGAAATATTAATGTAAACTTTTGTGTGCATGTATTATTAGTAAAACTGTATTTACATAAGTGGTATCATTTTTAATAGTAATTTTACAGGAAAAATGTTTTAATTTTGCCTGAAGGTAGTACTGCTTCCTGATTCACTTTTTTTGGTTATCACTGTGAAATTTTAGTGTCATTTGCAATTGTCATAATCAATTGTTTTAGTTTAAATTCAATCAGAGTTTAATTATGAGATCTTCGTAATAAATAAAATATTTAATTTATATTTTGTTTTGTATATGAATCGATCTGGAAAATGGTAAAATCACATCTGAGTATTTATGAAATATGAAAAACTGTTTTCAAATAGATCAACGTCTTACGTAATTTTTACAATATCAAAAACAGAGCTGATATTTACTATAACAATTTGTAATCGTTTCGTACCTGCTGTACACTGGATATCGTAATTTTTAACTTCTTATTTAGAATTTACAGGTAGTAAATTCTAATATATATACATATACAAAACGATTTCCATCCATGAAGGTCAAAGCGATATTTAAATTGACAAAATATCTTATTTAATTGATTTCTTTTCAACATTTTTTTTATGATACCCGAATTTTTTATATACACCAAAAATTTCGTACACGTACTACAGATATACTTAATTCGTCTGTATATCACCAAAAATAAAAAGTAGGGTGGTAGATTTCCATTTCCGCGTATAATATGTACAACATCGTAAGTATACTTTAATATAAGTATACACCAAGATAAGTAACTACTGAGAAGCTATCATTCGCACATAATCAAAAAAATCTCTAGTTCTAATCATACAGATTTTCGAAGCAGTTGGGAATCTAATAAAATAATTGACGTTCTTTGATTAGAAATAAATACTTTTCTCCAATAGTAGTAACAAGAATATCATCGTACAATTTCGCATAAATATTCACACGGTAAATTGAAGCAGGTTACTAAAATTTATGCAAAATAATTACTTTACCTAAACCATTGTCCAAATAAAGTGTATTTAAAATGATCGGTTGCGTTTAATTCTAGTCTGCATAATAATAACTTCACAGTTCACATGTCTGCAACTCTCATGCAACATCTAAATCATCGACTTCTTGACTATCAATTATTTCAAATTCGCTACTGCTCTCATCACTATGACTAATTAATTTTTTTGATAAGAGTGGTTCAAGTTCTGCTTCTTCTTCAGAAGATGATCCTTTCTCAAAATGACCACTTTGAAATTTAATACCGTCCACATCAGTTTCTTCAGCACTAAGTTCTAATTCAGAAACCTCTACACCGTCGGTACTTCCATCTTCGTGCGATGGCATTTTTAGACCTATAAGGTCTTCATCGTTAAAGAATTCTGTAGTCAAAAAACTTACTTATTTCCTTAGAATGATTAATAATAATAATAAAAAGATGATAATCTCTTTTGAAATAAGCTAATAAAGATAATAGATCATACCATTTTGAGCATCAGATAATACGCTTGTTGGTGTAGGAGATTGATCCCCTGATTCTCCTGCTCTTGTAAGAACCTGAAGATTGTCTTCGGTCACTGCTGGTAAAAATTCTTCAATTTCACTATCCCACTCTGCACAAAGAAATTTTTGGATTATCATGATCATTATGTATCTTAATATTAATAGCATTGTTACATTGTTAGCAAACTCAGGACCTTTTGATACTTAACGAGATATTAGTTACCTTTGTGTGGTACAATCTTATTAGGTAGCTTAAATAACAATGCGGGACCAAGTAGAATGCTCATGCATATCGTATATGCAAGAAGTATACCATTTATGGTACGACCAATAATCCATAGGCCCAAAGAGAGAGAACATGCAGCAGTGCAAAACTGAAACAAATAAGTATTAACAATATTTAAGTTTCTTATTTCTGTTTACATTATATGAAACATCCAATCAATGGAACTTTACCACTCCTGGTTGATCTTTCCTCAACTGCTTTAAACTATGAATCACTGATTTCACTTTTTTCCCTATCTTTTCAATTTGTTCTATTTTTGCACAGGATCTATGGACATATTATTCGTGTCAATCAAACTCATTTCAATGTGTAAACATAATTACTTAAATTCTGCTAAGCATAATTATTTAGATTCTGTTACTGACGTAGTTGTGTCCGATGCTCTGTTCTCTTTTTGAACTTGGGCTTCTAATGTGCTGTAACAGAGGACTACGACCAGCACAGCACTGCTGGCTGCTGCAAAGCCACGGACCTCGAGTACGATAATTCCCCTGAAAGGGGAATTTTGTTGAAATTGAAATCATTTTTTAATTAAATAACTATAACTAATAATAACATATAGAAGGATTATTATCGAATAAGGTATACGAATAGGAATCATTTTTTAAGTATAAATTTTTTAATTACAAGTTTGGTAAGAAAATTGACGTGTTAACAGGAACACGGTAATCTTCAATCGCGCGATTATACTTTTTAATTATCAACATGCACTGCCATCTAGGATAGCACTATGGATCTGGTGGGAAAATATGCTGGGAAGATGCAATTCATTCGACAAAGGAAACACGAAATGTCATGAATAAATGCAATCGTGGAAAAAAGGACGGCTTTAAATTGTACTGATTGTATCAATGAAAACCCATCAATGACCATTTTTATCAACTTATGTCTATAGTACGTGTAAATAACGTCATATGATCGACGTTTATCAATTCGCTTATTGCGAAGAAACACGTACAGGGAAACGCGAAGGATCGTAGCTCTCAACTATCTAGTGTTATTTACAACTGACATCAAATGCCGAAACACACGCTTCGACAAACCTTGACCCAGAAGGCGGATTATTCGCAAAGCATTAGAAGACAGCTGTTCCTATTAACGCGCGACACTTTCTTCGATGCACGAAATTCTTATTCGAGTATTCCTACTATTTAAACTGCTTTCGTAAAATAAAACACTTAGAAATTCTGAACGTTCAATTATACAATAAAAAAGTATATAAGCATATATCGCTCTTTGTTTAGCGACTGTGTTTAATGCTGCGATTTTTGTGCTTCGTTCAGGCAAAAGCAATGTTATGTTACGTATATCATTTTAATGCACGATAGAGAAACTATAATCGCGGAATATGAATCTAGTTTCGCAGATAAGTTGTAACGCTATAGCCGAGAAATGACGCACAGTGGTCCCATGGTAGACGAACTCACCAAAACAGTATGTTGAACACGATGACGACGGAGATACTATTCACGGAATTCTCCCAAAGAAGGACACTTTCCAGTATGCTACAGAACCGCTTCGGGGCTTCTAAATTGCATCCGACATTCCGATACTGTCCAACCTCGACGGGTTTACCCTCGTCCTCTACGGCCACCTCGCTTGTATCGCGAGGTGACGCGTTTCTCATCCATCGAAAATAACATGCCACTCTCGAAAGCCGTTCCATGACAGTTCCAGGTCGATGTTGACTGCTTTTGTCGTCCTAATTCCCGTTCTCCTTTGGCATGGTACACCCTCGGAAGACTGTGCGGGAGTATTTTTAGCGCGTGACAACGAGTAAGAGTTTTGAGAACGAACGAGCAACCGCGGGGGTTTCTTCTGCTTTGCCTCGAAGAACGAAGCGAGAAGGGGATATAGAGAGGGAAATACGACGGGCAGGTAGAAGCGAGAAGAAAGAACGGAAAGTGAGAGGGACAGAAACGAATATAAACGAAAGGATAGAGACTGAAGACTGTGACGAAGACTGACAGAGAACGAGCGATTAGAACGCCTAAGAAATGGAGAGGGAACGAACCACGGAGAAAGAGACGACCGACGAGAAAGAGGGAGAGAATAACAAAGTCGACCAGGGAAAAGATAGAGATAGACTGTACACCCTCGCGCTATACTGCGTTCGCCCTTCTCGATTTCGCGAATACCTTCTTCCGAGTCGTGGGCTTCTTTTGTCTCTTCTTATCGTTTGTTTGCTTTTTTTTTCGGCAAACACTAGTCGGTATCCTGTTAACGTTGTGTCTCTTACCGTGCTACTGACGTACGTACGCGCTCGAGAGCTATTCCATACCCTACCTTCGCCTACCGACACACGTGACACTCGCGACACGAGACGCCGTCGAACAGCGCACAACGTGCAATAGAACTGCGTAAATTCTTAAATTTTACTCGTGTTGACAGTGTCTGATACGGTACTATATCTCCTATATATACCGAATGATTCAATTTTTAACAGACAACGTAGTAGACGCAACGCGTGCCTTGAAAAATCACCGATAGTACGGTTTCGTACGAAATTTTCGCTTCAGGCATCGTTAGATCGAACTTACATTGAAAAATATACAGGGAGGTGATTTGAAACAATTTTTTCCTTAGCGAAAATGTTGTCCGAGGCTTCGTTATGGGGGCATTTCACTGTGAACGCGCAAAAAAAAGCATATTTTCAATAATTTTGTTCTCAGGAACTATTGCATAAAATTGAATGAATGTTTTTCTCTCTTAAATAATTAAGAAATGTAAATAAGAAATTTTTTTTTGGTAAAAAATATTTCGTCATTTATTTACAAAATAATATGCATGTGTGCAAAAGAAAAAAAGTTATCCGTTGGCGCAAGTGATTTTGGCTCTCTTGGTAATCTGAAACAGAAAATCGAAAAAGTTTATTAAACTATGTCGTCACATCTGTGGTCGGAACCTCCAAGTAGTTGATATTTTGATTTTTACTTACAATTTCATCTGATTTACGGTACAAAAAAAAGTGTTTCTCTCTCTCTCTCTCTCACACACACACACACATAAGAAACGCTGCCATTTTGTTTATTTTCGATGAAATAAATAAGTGGAGGTTTCGACCATAGATGTAACGACATAGTTTAACAAACTTTTTCGATTTTCTGTTTCAGATTACCAGGAGAGCAAAAATCACCTGCGCCAGCGGATACCTTTTTTTTCTTTTGCACACATGCATATTATTTTATAAATAAATGACGAAATATATTTTACCAAAAAAAAATTTTTTATTTACTTTCATTAATCATACCTTTAAGGAGGAAAAACATTCATTCAATTTTATGCAATAGTTCTTGAGAAAAAAATTATTGAAAATATGCTTTTTTTGTGCGTTCACAGTGAAATGCCCCCTTAAGAGAAAACGCCGACCAATCAGAGCGCGCGTATACTGTTGGAGCGGCCGCGGTAGCGAAGGCTACGTGCTAAGCGGCCGTGTCAATGTCCTTCGTTCGATGCACGTCGAGTCACTTGTTCGCGTATGAGCGCGGCCGCTAGCGCGTAGACTTCGCCACCGCGGCCGCTTCAACGGTATACGCGCGCCCTGATTGGTCAGTGTTTTCCGTTAATACAGGGTGTCCCAAAAATGTTGTAACACCTTGAAAGAGGTGGTTCGGGAGGTGATTTGAAACAACTTTTTCCTTAGCGAAAATGTTTTCCGAGACTTCGTTGAGGAGATATTAACGGAAAACACTGACCAATCAGAGCGCGAGTATGCCGGTGGAGCGTTGGCTCCGCGATAGGCGGCCGCGCTCATATGCTACCACGGCCGCTCCAACGGTATTCTATTCTCTCAACTGCTAGAAGGTGGTTATTAACAACGATTGGTAATTAAAATGACGTAGTGTGTCGAACGGTTTCACTTGTCTCGAATGTTTCGAAGCGAATTGTCGAATAGTTTTGAGCGAAACGAAACAACATAATGCAACATAATGTAAAAGAAACAAAAACAAATTACAGTCTATTGATGTTCGGACTGTTAGGAATCGGTGAATTGTGGAGGTCAATTTATATAAACTCGTGTTGTAGAAGCAGGGCCGGCGCAAGGCAGGTTCAGCGCGTTCGCCGGAACCCGGCCCCGCGTTTTAAAAGGCCCCGCGGTCTACGAAAATTACTGAATTAAAAGGCACCGATTTTGATTACCTTTTACAGATTGATGATACCATTAACAAATGGAAGCAATTTCTGCCGAGATGCAAGACATTTTTTTAGTAGCGATGATTAAATTGAAAGGAGTGACAAAAATCATCAAAGTATTATTATATAATATTCAGCTTATACAAAATATATAGCATTTGTATTGGGCTGTCTGGAAAGTCCATGCCGATTTTTAGTAGGCGGTACAGGTCTGAATATGTCAAATGGTCAAAATGCATCAATATTCAATTATATATGTCTTTGAATTTTTCTTAAAAGTAGGCATGAACTTTCCGGACAACCCAATAAATAAATAATTCCTCGTTGTAAAATTGAAGTGTAGGATTTGAATGTGAATTCAGGCTCCGCAAAATTTTTGAACTCGGCCCCGGTAAAGGTCACGCCAGCCCTGTGTAGAAGTCAAGTAGCTGTGTGCAGTATGCACGGCATCGAGTGAACTTCTGTTTAATTTTTGAGTTACCGTGGATTCATGAACTGGGATAGAGTTTCGATTTATACGTAGATGCCTCATTGTATCACGAAGCTTTATAACAAGTCTTTATAACAAAACATTTCGCATACATTTTTAATAGCATTGTATGTTATACAAGGTTACTGTTTACCTTTTTGCTGTACACAAGTTTCAAGTTTTTTCAACTGCGCGAAGGTAAATATCAGTGACGTCTGGCGATTAAAGCGACATACCGTGATTAATGGTTTTAATTATCTTGGTTTTCTTTTATTTTTTTAAATTGAATTTTTGTACAATTCAGTTTTATTCTTTAACGTAGAGGAATAAGACTTGTAGGATTTCGGTGTGTTCCTCGAAATTATCAAAGAAATTAATAACAATCTTTATTTAACTGTATCTAGGTGTGTTTTTCAAAATCGATAAGCATTATCAATTTTAATTTCCCGACAGTTATAAAAGAAAGGGAGTATTGCTATCGGTCAACACTTGACCTCATTGGATCTTTTGCATTTTTTAATGTTTTCGAGTGCTCTGAGTTAAAAAATGAAAAACTACACTGCGAAAGTAGTACGATAATTTTGCTAGCTTTTGTTACGACGGTACGCGAAGGATGTTTGCCCGTTTTTATTACGCGTTAGTATTTTTGATTATTGACAAGCAATGAACTTCAGTGAATGATAGCGAAAGGAAACGTTATCGTCTTATTCAGAGATAGCTCGATTTCAATTCACTTTATAAAATTCGATACATATAGAATGGAATGAACTTATAAACAGGAAAATGTTCCAGCTACAGGTCAACGACGCCAACTTGTTTTTTTCATCGTGCCTTTCGAATGGTATTACACCATTACCGTAATACTGTAGTTAAATTCTGTCCGGATAATAGCCCCTCTGCTCTATTCGTTCTTCTGATCATTTCATTCTACTAAATCGCGCGAGGTCGTGCTGTTTCAGGTTTTCACTTTTACCATATCAGTAACGTTAGAAATGGTTTGGGCGCCCTGTTCTTGTAAACTAGGATTCACGCGTACATAGAATCATCTATGTAGACTCCTATTGTTTATCAGTTTATTTCCATATATGGCATTGGAAACTAGTGAAATTTCTTAAAAATACTTAATTCCACGAATAATTTTGTACATGGAATTAAGGAAACTTCGGTAGAACATTCACGTATCACAATTTAACAAATTAAAGATTCTGACATTAAAAGGTTAAGGACATTCTACGAGCGACTATATCTTTCCGCAATTTAGCGAATTCTCAATCGAGTTGTATGATTGCATAAATTGCTTTATCACTTTGTGAGTCGATAAGTGGTATCTTTAAATCCACGTAGACAAATCATCTTTGTTGTTTTTGTGTCCATATAATGTTATATGAAATTACCGCGAAAGAATTAATAATTGATTCGTTAGTTCGTACGACAAATTACGTAACGTACTATTAGGAAATATACAATTATTTTTAGCAACGAGAAGTCAATTTCGATCGAATTTGTTATTGAATTTCTTAATTTTTATAATACATATTTCAGCTGTAATATTACGTTTTCGTTTAAGTTATTAGAATTTATTAGTAACGACATCGTTTATAAATTAATTATCTGGAATATTCTTACACGAATATGGTTAATTACATGTAGTTTGTATACATTTTATTTTTGTTATATTTATCTTTATATTATTTGTTTGCAATTATAAGACTACCGTTATGATATTATGCACTTTACATACCGTAGATTCTCGCTAAAGATAAAACTTGAACCGGATGCTGTCCACGTGGAAATTTAGCTTGTCGTGCAAAATCACGCTGTTTATCGGAAAATTGCTAGTGCAACACGTCATTGCACTACGCTCTAGTCGTGCGGCCAATTTTACACGCAAATTGTCTTCAGATGAACTGTATCGATAATCAAGTTTATGGGAAAATATAACGATATAGATAAAAGATGTTATTAACTTTCGATAATCAAATAAAATAGGAAAAACAGATACAGACTTCTATTCCATACTTTTTATTTTTTTTATATGAAAAAGAAAGCACTGTTGAATCATTGTAATTGATTTAGTTTATTAAGTACACGCATATAGAAGTAGTTTATTTATGAGAACAAGGTTACAAAAATGAGTGTATAAATGCGCGCACAAAAATATATTATCAACATATGATGATGTTTTATGTGTGTTATCTTACAGTGAGATCGTAAGATAAGCTGATACTCTTTTGTCATTTTTCTGATAGTTTATTTTTAAATATTTAAATAAGAGTAAAATATAAAAGTTATAAATCACATCTTATTAATATAATTAAATCTGATTAATGCGATACATTACAAAAGTATTGCGTTAATTTTTAAATACATTCTGAATATTGATTTAAGTCACTTTAAAGTATTGCGTTAATTTTTTAATAATTGCAAGCATGTCTATTATTTATAATATTGGACACAGGCAACAAAATTTAGTGGCCTCTCATCTATATAATATCTTATATAACTAAACAAAAAACGTAGCATCTATCATTTTTAACAGTTGTAAAATGATTTATACTTATTACTATGCGTTTTGTTGTTTTATACATTTATACAATTTCCTACATACATTTTCAAATCATTACAAAATGTAAAACATGTGTTAGAACAGGGAAGACATAAGACGAAAACAATCGATCACCGTTCCTTAAAGTACATCTGTAAATATGTAGTTTTTTAGGTCTTGCAATATCACATATTTAATGTGCCTTATTTGTATTTCTAATTTCAAATATACTAGCGTATGAAAAATCTCAATAAACACATGTAAAAAAAAAAAAAAGAACGAATTGATCGAGCTCTAGGTATCAGATCAATGAGTGTAGATAAAGTCCACAACGAGATTATGATTCCTCATAAATTCCTCATTAAAAAAGGTAACTAAAATTGATATAAACATTTTTGTCGCAAGACAAAGGCACTTGTATGTAAAATGCATGGTAAGATAAATTGTAAATCTTAAAAATGTTATGTTACCGTACTTCCATGCAAATATTCAATCTTACATTGCAGTTTTGCATTTTATAGAAATTATTATCCCTTGTATATAAATTACATCTGCACACACATGCACACGCACTCATACATAGCAGTCTAAGTTATATGGCAGTATTATAATATCGTACTTAACGAATAAGTTGATATAACTTCATACTACATTAATTTCCATTAAATACTTACGAGTTACAATGTTACAAACTATCTTATTTACTCCTAAAGCTTCTTTTGATGCGTGATAAAGTATATTGTTTGTTGTTTAAATATTAACCAGTTTAAAATTTATATAAAAAACACAATTTACTGCAATGTAATAGTTCCGCATTCTCTATTGAATAGAGATCACTTTTACAGCTCTCATTTTCCAGCATAGGTTGGATTTTTAAACGTTGACGTGGCTTGTTTATAGATTGGATTTTCTCCCTATTAAAAAATATTTACAATAAAAGACTTGTAATATATTTATATCTGATTGAAAAAAAGATATTTAAAATGCTTACCGTATCCCATTTAGCCATCATTCTCTCTCTTTCAAACCTTGCAAATTCTCTTCTATCATGTATAGTCGTCAATAATTTCCACAAAAGTAATAATGCGAGGCCGATTAAAACAATTGCCGCTATTACACCTAATACTATGCCCAGCATATAGACTTGCGGTGGACATTCTCTTTCTTTTTGTGCTCGTACTTTCAAGCAATTTGTTTCGTTATAATAATAAACAAAATTATATTTACAGTCATCTACGTCTATACCAGAACACGGCTCTTCGTCTTTATCAACATCTGGAATAACAGTCTCGACTGGTTCAGGAACAAACTCTTTACAATTCTTTGCACATTCTTCTTTGTCACTATAATTTCCAGTGCCATACATTTGGCACAATACACAGTTCTTCAATTCTTCACAGCGACTTGGGCAAGTGGGACATTTATTGCAATGTTTACCAGAGTATCGTATATTTCCTTCTTCGTGACAGTAACATTCACCACATATACAATCTCCCTATAAAAGAGGAGTAATAGAAATTAACAGTAAGATATAACGAAATGTTTGTAAATGATAATATTAAACTTACATGTCCTGAACACAATATTCCACTTGTCGTTCCTCGTGCAATACAAGTTTCGTTAGAAGATTTACAACTGCAAGATGGTCCAGTCCATCCAGCGTCGCAGATACATTGTCCACATTCGCATGTTCCATGATTAGAGCATAAGCGATTTTGATCTCGATCACACGAGAAATTATCACATTCGCAAAAGTGACCTGATATCACCTGCAAAAAAAAAACAAGAGAAAAACAGTTAAATTTATGAATATTATATATCTAATGCTCAAAAAAGTTAAGTTTATGCATTAGAATTATATATATATTTACTTCATCCGGATTGTCTCTTTCTTCGCACTCGCACTGACCACACGCGCAAGTTCCTCTTCCTGAACAATCTACGAGAGAAGTATTATCAGGCCTACAGGACTGGAAATGTTTATCAAATCCTGTCATTTCATGATGAGGGCTGCATTCACAGCGTTTTCCAAAGAATCCATCGTAACATTCGCAAACGCCGCATTTTAAAGTTCCCACGCCATTGCATTCTGGTGATTTTGGTTCGTACATAAGACCTTCCCGTTCACACTCGCAGTCGCATAACATTTCCAGATTTACAGTAAGAGTCTCATTAATACCAACCTAAAAAATATTAATACACTTAGATGCTATTCCAGTTTCTGATTTTAAACATAAGCGAAATTAAATATTCATACAGCAAGTTCCCGAATTATGCCAATTCGTAGATACGCGGTTATACCCATGGTCTACATTCTTCTTAAAGGCTTATACGAAAAGCTTCAGAACGCATTAAAGACATAGGTCGGGAGTTTACTGTATACAAATATCCTATTCTTACTGGATAAATATCAAATTTCTGTTTCCATTCTGATCTATTTTCCGGACAATTCGTGACTTCAATTTCTGCAATAAATTCGACTTTTGTTCCAACTTTTAGTCCATCACATTTCGATGTCTCGATGAGTGGTCCGTTACCCAAACACTTTGAAAAATATTTTACTTTCACGGCACTGCTGGCCGTATCTTTCATTTCGACAGAACTTGAAATTGCATCGTATTGTTCTCGAATTAATTCTACAACGTTACTCGAGTCGTCCGACAGTTTGCCAGCAAAAGATCCTTCTACGTGTTTAGTCAGTCTTTTGTATACATTTATTTGTTCTTCGGTGACAGCCCATATAATATTAATAGCATTCTGTTTAACTTTCAAATTAATCTGTGAAATGCTTGGGTAGTCTTGTAAGGATGAATGAGTGTAGAGACCAGTATAATCTAAATGACATTCGCCATCGTTTGGCTTTACAATTCCACCCAGTTTACCATCACCTGCATAATGAAAACCAGCATCCGTAGAAAATACCAATAATCTACGTGCTTTTTCACGCCAACCAATTTGTCCTCTACAAACTATAGCTTGCATTATCGCATCAAATCCTCCTTCTGGTGCATCCAAGTTCCCAGACACTGAAGCATTTCGCACTAAATTCTGCATAATTCAAACGAATAAGTACTAGCTTTTACAAAAATAAGTGATAAAAAATAAAGTTGTTAGGTACTAACTGCAAAATGACTAGTGTCTTGAGACAATGTCATAATATTTTTATATCCATATGGTGCTGCACATCCATCACATGGTTCTATCAGCCTAAAATACAAAAAAGATGTTAAATTTATTATTAAATAATATGTAATATTATAATTGCAGGATATAAAAACTTACGACTTTGGCATCGTATTAACATAAGGCATTACAACTTTATCAACAAAGCTGCCAAAGCCTAATCGAAAGTTACTCGTAATTTTACTCATACTTTCTACTAAAAGTTGACCTAAATCTGACAATTTCTTTTTATCATCTTCCATCGATTTACTCAGATCCATAAGGTAATACAGATCAACAGGATAATCTTCTGCTTGTGAGTAAGCAAAGGTCATTCTGTGTGCTTCACCTGAAAGTATCAAAATTTTAGATGATATATTTTATTAAAATTCATTTAAACTACATCAGAATAGTAATAACTCACTTATTCTTAGTTTTAAATTAACTTCTTGTGGCCAAAGTTGCACAGCTTCTTGTCTTCTGCCACTGCTGCTGCTACTACTACTTTCTCTGTTGGACTGTGAACTAGAGCTAAACGAGCTAGAATTTGAATATGAATACTCATAGCCACTGGCACCACCACTTGTATAGCCACCTTTTGTTAAATTGTAATGTCTTATCATACTGAAAAGATTATCTGGGTTCCACGTGTATTCTCCTGGACATGTTGCAAATATTTTGGTATTTATATTTGGTAGGAAGCACCGCTTTTCTGAGAATTTCTACAAGAAAAATAAAATAAATCATATGAATTTATTCATATTACATTTATAAAAATAATACTTACTGGTGCAGCACACCATGCACAATGTGGTGTTTGTATGCATTCATGGCATGTTTGCTTGCTAATGCAAGGATTCATTCCTGTCAATCTTTCTGGAGGAGGATAATTTGCCTCTGCTAGTGATGCGACGATCGCTATCAGTATGATCCATCCTGAACTGCTGAACATTCTGTATACATAAACATAAAATTAAGTATTGTTTCAATCCTTTTAACACTATTGAAATAGTAATATGTCTACAAAACAAATATTGTAGATTAAGCTAAAATAAAATACATTTTCATGACAAAAAAGATAATAATTCACTTTTAAAACAATCACAATATATACACAAAATTTATATTATGTATTTATCAAGAACTCATTGAATCATAATTATGTTGAAGAAACATTTTCAGAAACTGAAGAAACAAATATGAGATCATGTTCCTGTAATTGTTGACTCATCGAATTCTTAAATTATATATGGTCAATACCTATTTTTATTCTTTAAGAAAAAAAGGAAGCATTAAACACAAATAATCGTGATTTACATAGGAAATAAAAATAAATTAATAAAATTAATAGATTAAATTGGGACAAACCTGTATCATCATTTATAAATATACTGCAAACTTTACGAGGGAGACTATTCTTAAATGACTAGGTCAACCTGTCACCTCATTTTAGTATTTTACACACAATTATACACGAAAATATAATTAAACTATCTTATTTTTCCAATAAAATAAAGTAAACAAGATTTCTACCCAAGTATTTAATTCGTACACTCAGATAGTGAATCCACTTATTTTTGTGTTAAACATAGATTGTTTGTTACAAGAAAAAGAAAAACCGTAGAAAATGCGAAAAACATTTAAATAAAAGCGTAATTAATTGTTTCCCAAACGAAGGAATAAAATGTAATCGAGGTGCGGCTATGCAAGATCTCCCACGCTTTAATGTACAACGTAACGAATATTTCTAGTTTCATCGAAACAAATTTGTAACTTGGCAAGTTCCAAAAAAATGTTAAACATATATTTGAAATTTATTCGATACCTGTGAAATGTAATTATCCACAGCGAAAGACAGGTCGCTTATTCATTCACGAAGATGCCGTCATCTTTATATTTACAAAATGCTATCACTTTGCAAACGAGGAGGCGAACGTTAAAACGATGAAGAATAAACAAAAAAAACAGCTAAACGAGAAACATCGAGGGCTTACGTTTTCTTTCAAAAGGTCCTGTTTCGATCTGCTATTAGAACATTACAAGTTTGACCAATGTTTTCTTGTTACTTGAATCACCATAAAAGGTAACCCATCAAACCCATGCACCCCACAAACAACTTCGTCTACAGAATCGCGATGGACTCACACGAACTTTCCGATGCTCTCTGATTTCTATTGGACGTATAACGTGAACTAACGCGCAACAGATGAGAAACTCTTCGTAAATAAACGAAACGTAACTACAGCGTTAGCGCTCCATGTATTTGATTAACGAACTACTTTCCAAAATGTCCGAATGATGGGAAATTTTGAATTTCATTCGGATCTTCGTATGGTTATTCTATGTTTTGCAGGATTCTGGTACGTTTATAGGGTGCCCCAAAAATGTTGTAACATCTTGAAAGAGATGGTTCAGGAGGTGATTTCAAATAACTTTTTCCTTAGCGAAAATGTTATCCGAGGTTTCGTTATGGAGATATTAAGCGAAAACTCCGACCAATCAGAGCGCGAGTATGCCGGTTGAGCGTAGGCTACGCGCTAAGTGGCCGCACTCATACGCTACCGCGAGCGCTCCATCGGCATACTCGCGTTCTGATTGGTCAGTGTTTTCCGTTATTATCTCCTTAACGAAACCTCGGACAACATTTTCGCTAAGAAAAAAGTTGTTTCAAATCACCTTCCGAACCACCCCTTTCAACGACTTCCAACATTCTTGGGACACCCTGTATATGAAAAATAGACTTTTTTAATCAATATTATATCTTCTGAAAGATCGAGATCCTTCTACATCCTTCCACTGTTATGGCGATGTCAAAGAATACGATTCTACGACTACGAAACATCATTTGAAAAAACGATAAATGCTTTTATCTATTCTAATAAGCTTATAATGTCTTAAATGCGTCTGTCGAATACTATAACGAAATTCGAATGATGTTAGAGAGGTTAGAAGCAGTTAGAAGTGTATAGAATGCGCGCATGACTTGCAGTGAACTTTAATTGCGTTCTTCTCGAAACTTCGGCTTCAGAAAATGGCTTCCATGATATCTAATAAAATAATCTGCTAATTAACGTGAAATTTTATAATTTTATACGCATCCCTTTATAGCTTGTACTGTAATTACAAGTATACGTGTACCATACTTTCCAAAAGTAACACATTAAAAAACAACAAATTTATTAGTGACATTTATCATACTTAACAGTATACTGTTAATTAATATTCTAATGGACAAAGTTGTTCAAGTAGACCTTGAAATATAATTTCATTTTATAATTCAGATTGTAATTTTTATTGAATGAAATAATGCATCGAAAGTTTGTCACTTTTTATTCGTCGTTTGCGATTTTCATTAAAATCAAAATTTTGGTTATCTCTGCGTTAAAATAAGCGTACAAAATACACTGTATCCAATCTCGCATTAAATAAGATAAGTAATGATTGGTATTTTCATATAAATCATGATTTATTAGTGAGCAAATAGGATTATTAAATAATATTGTAGTAGAGGATCGTTTCCAATGAACTACCACCCTAGAGTAATCGATATTAGCTGTTACGAAACCGGAAGTGAAATTCATTATGTTAAAAGTATATAAAACTATATATATATATATCTAAAATACACCAAAAAATATGTGCGTTTAATTAGTGTAATCTAGTAGTGCAAATAAAATAAATAATATACACAATTTTGTGCAACGTAGTTCGGACTTACTATTTAATGAAAATCAATACTTGCAAAATCTGCGCAGAGAGCGAAAACGAGAGAATAGGGCGCTTCTGCGCATCCCCACCACCGACTATATGATGTGTCTCATATCCGGCTTCGTGGTGAATCGTTCTTTCTGTCCCTGGAAGCGGCACAGGTAAGACGTTTGTTCGTTGTTCATTTTACAGTCTCTTTTCATTTTTTTTTTGTTAAATAATTGAGCGTATATATTCATTCTATCACAGTTAATTACTAATTATTCTTTCGTCTTTTCGATCGGACAAGCGTATTAAGTGATTTTCGAATTTAATTTTAGAGATCAGCCGCTTGTCGAGTCAGTTAAATACAACAAATCTAGTTGAATACTAATTTACTGGGGTCTTAAAGCTCATCACGATAGCATCAAACATGTAAGTAAAATTAGAATTTGCCTATGCTAACGAAAATACCAGATTTTACAGTACTTCACGCCATCGTGGTGTAGTTCTCGTCTTTTTTGCACAACGGTAACTCGTGGTCGGCCATTACGCGAACGTTGGATATCCGCAATGCGTCGTTGCGACTAAATTTCTTTTATCGTGCCCTTGAAGAAACGTGTAAATGTAGCGTTATGTAACGTTTTATATACGTTTCAACATTCGTATAAGTTTTATTTGTATTCCAGTCTTATAAATGTTATTTTTACGCGTCCTTATTACAATGTAATCTTTTCTTTCTAATTAGTAGCTTTCTATTTTTACAGTTCTGTATAACATATTAATTTAAGAAATTTAAATTTAAAGGTGCTTAGCCAATATAATGTACATGTTTTAACAAAGAATTGATTTAATTGGATTTCCCCAAAGTGCAGTTATAGATTTATATGAAATTTTTGTAATGGTAAATTTACATAGATTGATTGTGATACTTATAAATTGAAGGTTACGACAAGTAGTTGGAGCCTTTGGATCTCTTAGATTTAGGTTTGTATTGTTGCAGATATATGTTCTCATAACCCTTTAGGAATAGATGAATTTGTGATTTTCTTTTTTTATAAATCGATTAAATTATATTACATATATTTAAAATTTGATATTATTATTTAGTTTTGTTCATTGCTCATGACTAATGAACTAATACTTGCAACAAAGTATAAGACAAATTTGCTGCAGTTTTGTTAAAAATGTTCAAAATTTCAGCCTCTCATTTTGGCATGCCTCCATCTTATACATTAATGGAGCATGAATGCTTATGAGAGGGAAAACAAAGTGTGAACATGCCTTCGGAATCCACACGTTTCTGTCTGGAACCGTTTCTCTATGTTCACTACATTTATGAATAAATATCCCTTTGTGGATGTACATTTAGTGAAATTCAGAAAAATATGTATCTAACAACTACTGTATTCAATGTATAAACTACATTTTAATTGAATGATTTATATTTTAAAAAGGAAATCAATCTTTGTTGATTTATAATTGCATTCTAAAGATTTTCTCTATGTACATTCAAAACTACTATATACCGTAAAAGAGATAAGTATGGTCATCCCTCAGTTTTAAAGGTTTTTTCTTGTTTATAGGACGTACGGAGCTATGTCTAACGGTTACCACAATAGCGGAAGTTACAGAGGTGGGAAAAGTCAACAACAACCAAGAAGTAGGTATGCAACTCTTGGCACACCTAATGGACGATTTGGAAATCGCAACAACAAAAATTCTACAAACAGTGCTGGTACTAACTTGAGGAAACCAAATTGGAGCTTTGAAAGTTTGAAGCCCTTCAAAAAGGACTTCTATATACCCCATCCTAATGTTCAAGGACGTCATCCACGAGATGTAGATGTATTTAGATCAGATAACCAAATTACTTTAAAAGGGGATAAAGTTCCTAATCCTATTCAACATTTTGAAGAAGGAAATTTCCCTGACTATGTAATGCAGGGTATTAGAAAGCAAGGATTTAACGAACCAACTGCTATTCAAGCGCAAGGATGGCCGATCGCAATGTCTGGTCAAAACATGGTTGGAATTGCTCAAACTGGGTCTGGAAAGACTTTGGGATACATTTTACCTGCGATAGTACATATTAACAGCCAACAACCGTTAAATCGCGGTGATGGACCAATCGCTCTCATATTAGCACCTACCAGAGAGCTGGCACAACAAATTCAAAGCGTCGCTAACGATTTCGGTTCTTTGTCTTATGTGAGAAACACCTGTATTTTTGGTGGTGCACCAAAGGGAAGTCAAGCACGCGATTTAGAACGAGGAGTTGAGATCTGTATTGCTACACCAGGACGTTTAATTGATTTCTTGGAACGTGGCACAACCAATTTACGTAGATGCACTTACTTAGTGCTGGATGAAGCTGATAGGATGTTGGACATGGGTTTTGAACCACAGATTCGAAAAATTATTGAACAAATCAGGCCTGACAGACAGGTTCTTATGTGGTCTGCAACATGGCCAAAAGAAGTTAGAAACCTTGCAGAGGAATATTTGACAAATTATACGCAACTGAACATTGGATCTTTAACGCTGTCTGCTAATCACAATATTCTTCAAATTGTTGATGTTTGTCAAGAACATGAAAAAGAAACAAAGTACGTATTTCGTATTGAAATATGTTTTATATTTTGATCATTCAAGCTCGTTTATATTTGAAACTAATTATGCGATTGCGCGTCGTGTTAAAATTGTAGTAGTCACAATTAATCGCGATTACATTAGTCTATCTAGTAATGCTAATCGTCAATCATTGCTCTAATGAAAATTTGCTCAACATTGTTCTATATTTCATAAGAATACAAATTTTGTTTTTATTGCGCTGTTTATGATGATACAATAGTATATGATATTACATGACTTCGTATAAACTTTTCCTCTAAGAAGAACTGATTTCTATTTAATATGCAAGTAGATCTTGTCTTTTAACTCTTTAAGTTGCAACCCATTTTGTGTTAACTTTAGATTGGGAACTCTTCTTCAAGAAATTGGTAATGTGAATGAAGACGGTGGGAAGACTATAATTTTTGTAGAAACAAAGAAAAAGGTGGAGAATATCACTAGAAATATTCGTCGCTATGGATGGCCTGCAGTATGCATGCATGGTGACAAATCTCAACAAGAAAGAGATCATGTCCTTAGAGGTATGTTTGTTTTCATAATTTTTTACTGTAAACCTGTATAACCTCGCGTTTTCTCAATTTCTAAAATGTATAATTAAATTTCAGAATTTAGGAACAACAGAGGTTCGATTCTTGTAGCAACGGACGTTGCTGCTCGTGGATTGGGTATGTAATACACAAACTTTTTTTTTTTTTAAAGCTGTTAGATTTTCAAGAATGCATTGACCCTTAGATAAGTTGCATTTGCGAAAATCTATACTTAATTAGAAAGGGTTATGGTAAAGTGGCGATGTAGCACAGACTGGTTATATGAAGGTGATGCCTCACAAATTTTAGCATAAATGCAATTTATATTAAGTAAACATCGTAATTAAGAGACAGCTCGAAAAATCTTTTAGAAAATATAGTATCATTATAATTTTTGGATAGAGTGTTAAAATACTCTGTAGAATTCGATAATTATTAGGATATATACAAAGTGATACAAGAGTAATATTGGATCAAAAGAATGTATCTAATACAAATTCTCAAACTTTACATAAGCTTAGAGCACTAAATAGACGGCATTAGTTAGCTGGTACATTTATATTTTTTCATTTATTTGTATCACTTATTCTTAAATGTACAGACTTATAATTGTTACATTATTATTGTACATTTTTAATAACATTCAGTCAATATAGTTCGTAGGTTTTCTGAATATTCGTTCACAATTGTAACTCATTATAATAAGGAGGTGAATAGGATTGCGCGAAGGATGCACATCGTTTATAATAGACCCAATATTTTGTTTATTTTTTAATCAAGAAGGCATTAAGTTTCAGTACCCAAAAATATTACAATTACCGGGTTTATAAAATCTAATGTTAGGTATAGTATTGTTAGGGAGTAGGTAGTTACTTTATTAGTTTTTAACTATTTTACCAGCGTTATTAAAAATTCACTAATGCAATCTATTTTAATTGAGAGAAGCAAAAAGATGTTGTAGACTATGCGCTTGTGTTAAAGAATTGAGAGCAACTATTGGAATACAGGAAGTGCGTTAGTAATACGTGTGGGCATCTTATAATTTATGTTAATCAGTCTGGTTGTCCTTTGTTTCAGAGGCACATGGTGCACAAATTGTGTTGAGTGTGCGATGAAAAAACGATCGTTCGATAAAGAAAACATGGCTCACTCACTGTACATGTGCAATTCTGTTATGCGCATAATATTGTACTTAATGTGCCTCTGTGTTCAGCCTGTGTACCACGCAAGTAGTAGAGTGGTGCGCGGGTGGTGCCGTTATCGCGCTGGTTGGGTGTGAGATAAGACCGTGGTTTCCATTTTGGTACAACCGTCACACTTCATAGCCAATGCTCAGCCGGCGTCAGAGACAACAATCTATTGATTTTGCTACTATCGCTACTCGCTGGTGATGCTTAGGACACAACATTGCAATGTGAACTTGCATTCAAGAATAGCACACCCCCTGGGGCGCTCTGTATGCAGTCACATGGAATGCAATGTTCAGCGGTTTCAAGGGTTTGTATTTATTATTATGCAGCTAACTTACATTCATATGCGTTTAACTTAATCTTAAAGTTGATGCAATTTTCTAAAACATTCTTCTTATATTTCTAACATATAGGAATGAAAGTGAGAACGGTATAGAATTCTTAATAGTTTTAAAGGACGTAGTAGTTAACCTTTATCATATAAATGTTACATACTTGGGAACACAATTCTATACTGAAGTATTTGATCAATCTTTTTCTTTAATTACATTAAGATAAAATGATAAATTTAACTTTTATTAATACGACCATTACATAGTATTATAAAATTTATATGTTTAAGGTTAGACTTATAATAGTTTCTACCATTAAAAAATTACGTATACACTTATTCGTGATATGCCGAGAATAATATACTATGATAGATGTTTGCATCGAAAACGCCGTTTTCATTAGAGATTATCAATACACCCAGTAGTACGGAAGTCAAATATTAAAATGAGGATTAACACATTGACTGCCGCTCTGCGAGTAAACAATACATAGTAACCATTTGAGAAAGAACAGAGATCGTTATGAATTAAGAGAATTGAATTTATTAATACAAATATTAATAAATTCTCGTTGTATTGGGATTTTTTTTTTTTTTTTTTTTTTTTTTTTTTTTTTTTTTTTTTTTTTTTAAATATTGCAACGTTAGTCAATGCGTTAATTATCTGTTACACAACTGTATATCTAATTTTCAAATATTTATATTTAACGTGCTAGTAAGGGTTGGTGTATGATTATAGGCTTAGCTGCATATGTATTTCGGAATGAAGAACCAAACATGAGAATAATATTCATTGGTCTTCTTACTTTGAAATGATAACATACTTCTATTCTGATAAAGCAATTGTAAAGATTTAAATTCGAAAGAAACATAGAGTTCAATTCAAACAGTTACCTAGTAACCAGGAATTGCTCATTTGGCACAGTATATAGACAGTACCAAAACAGATTTGTTTAATTTAAAAAAAAAAAAAAAACCTTTTTAATTTCACGTAGCAGTACCTGTTTTAAAATAAAATCATTTCTTTAGATGTCGATGATGTAAAGTACGTGATCAACTTCGATTATCCATCATCATCTGAAGACTACATCCACAGAATAGGCAGAACTGGTCGGTCAAATAGTACAGGAACAAGTTACGCGTTCTTTACACCACAAAACAGTCGACAGGCTAAAGATTTAATTAATGTACTTAAAGAAGCCAACCAAATTGTCAACCCAAAACTTTCCGAACTTGCTGACCGAAGTGGGAATTATGGTGGCCGAAGTAAGTGCTTGGATACGCATAAGAAAATGAAAATAATTTAAAAAATATTTATTATTGGATATTATCTTCTAGAGCCTCGCCTAGATATTACATTTCTTTAACTCATTCGGAATCATTTTTTACGTTTTATTTTCAGATCGTTGGGGATATGGCGGAGGCAATCGCGGCAGAGAAAATATGTTTTCTGGAACGCATAAACGATTTGATATTGGAAGGAACTCTAGTTATAACTCTAGTTGATTTGTTTCGACTTTCGAACCACATTTCTAAATGCGTATAAACCTCTTGGAGACCTACAACTTATTTACAATTTTTTTTATCTGTGATTAGGAAAAAGTTCTCCGTACAGGTTGTACTATCATACTCCAGTTATGTGCTCTGCTAACTTTTTATGTTATTTTTATTTATGATCGTATTGTTTTTGTTAGCACTAGTACAAAACTCAAGAAACAGGAAATATCTTGACAAATTTAAGTTATACGATAATATTAAATATTTTTATTTTTTTCACACATTGAGACGCGCGTAAAATAAATACTAAATATATGGTAGTTAACTGTCGATAAAAAATGGTAAAACAAATACCTAATACGAGACATCTTCTGTTGTCAAATTTCAATTCTAAATATCTGCAACGTTCAATTTTAATCATACGTTTCTTCAAGTTTTAAAAATATTGGTGAAATCTTTGGTTAGTTGCGCGTCTCGGGAAGTAGGAGTTCAGTAAGTTGTGAAATAATAGTAACTGTATCAGTATTCATTCCAATTCTTTTAATATGGCCGATATTAGTTATATTGGTCATATTATGAAGTCTACGCTATTAAATGAAATGAGAGAACGCACTGAATATTATGACTGTGAAGCTACAATTTTCTTACATGTATGTCTTACTAATATTAGTTCTGTGTATGTCGATAAACGAAATAGTCCTGATCTACCAGAAGAAATATTTCTCTGATAAATCAATCTTTTTCTAGTAAGGTTACCCATGTATAAAAATGTAGTTTGACTTAAATTTTCCATCGGCATGTCGGACTAATCGAAGCCGCCATGACACCTGGAATCAGCGTTCCAACCAATAAAGGTTTTTGTTAATTATATACCCCTTACCGTTTAAAGCACTTAAGAAACTATCGCACGTCAATGTATCACATTTTCAGTTCTCAGTAATAAATTTCAAAACAGATTAAAAGGTAAACAAATTTCCAATGTTATTCATAGTTTAAATGTAATAATCCTGTCCAATAAACTCTAATAATTATGTATGGGAAATTTCGACTTTTCAATAATAAATGTTAAAATTATACTACTTCGTTTGATTTAGAGCGTCACTCGTACTCTATACCTATTTCAATATGTATAGCTGCAGATAAGCAATAGGTCAATTAAGTGATCCACGAAGAACTTCATTATTACTATAATATTGCATTTGTACGATTAAATTTTGTTTAGAAAACGATGCTATAATGAATATAATGTAAATTTTAACAATATTTATGTTGTATTAGGAAAATTCTGTTCTTTCTTCATGTGAATAATTATTGATCAAACAAATATTTGGAAAATGGAAGAACCTGTAAGAAAATCCGTTCTCGATTACATCCGAAAAATTAAAAAATACAGTCTATGTAGACTTATATTTTGTGCAAAAGCTACGAATTGCGAAGAAATCGTACGATTGTTTGATTACGCAATTACAGACAAATTTTCGCAGTGTATTACAGGATTACTTTTCGTTTATTCTGATTTTATGATTCATTTAATCGAAGGTGCAGAAGACGATGTTTTTCGATTGTGTAACGAGGTGTTCGCAAATAGTTCGAGAGTTATAACAAATAATAAATGCTTATACGTACAAAACGGTGCAAAGCAATTTTTTCAAAAATGGCACTACAAACGATTGAACAATTACAATTCGAATGTAAAAGAATTAGAGGAAATCGAGGATAGTTTCGAAAATATATCTACTATACATAAAACAATGATTTTAAATTTACACAAATTATATACTGAATTATGGAATGTGCACCACTCGAAAAGTTACGTAAGTGATATATAAATTACGTTATTTTATAGTTTACTATATAATAGTTAAAAATAACAATACAATTGTTATAACTTCACACACAGCAAAGTTTTATTGAGCAATTGAATTTAATATCAAGAAAAGGACATTTGAATATTCCGTCTAAATCAAATATGGAATTCGTACTCAGAAGTCGTTGGGGATATGATCTGATGACATTAGCCAAGGACTATTGTAATCTAAAGTATCCATACAGTTTTGACGATTATTCTCCAGTTTCTGAAATTATACATGAAATTAAATATAACGTTGAATAATTTTATAAACTATTATTAGTAAAAACAACGTATCGAATAATAATCATATAAAATAATTAATCAAATAGGTGCAAAAGTTGATTGTTTCAGAATACAATATAAATAGTTTCACGTGTATATGTAAGTTTTCGTGTAGATCGTGTAATTATTTCTAGAAAAGACACTGTTGGACATTGTTGGAACAACGAAAATATGCGTTTTGTGTTTGTTTTGGGAAAAATAGAGGTTATGTGTTTTTGTTTGTAAGTAATTGCGTGTTTATTTTTATTAATATCTAGTGTCCCAGTTTCTTATTCCAAATGTCTACGATTGAAAAAGACAACGAAATAGTTGATAAAAATTATTGTTTGATAATATCACCCTGTGTATTGTGTTATTTGTTTATTAAAAAAAAAAAAATAGATTTTTATGCCTTGAAATAGTGTAACTGTATTATCTTTATTGTTTTTTTTTTGTTAACAATAAAAACTATTATTAATTTTATGTTGTTTTCCTGGTATTTTGTATATGTAGTATACAAAAAATAAGATAGATAAAATAAGAAAACAATGGATACTTCGTTAAAAACAGGTGATCATAATTCAGATCATGCTGTAGCAGGAGCTCTTAGTGGCTTTGTAACAAGATTTATTTGTCAACCGTTAGATGTTGTAAAAATTAGATTTCAGGTAAAAATAATGCAAGCAATGCGTGATATAGTAGGATTTACAACGTTATATACATTGCATAAAGAGTTCTTTATTATTATAGCTACAAGTTGAACCTATTACTAACCATCATGTTAGTAAATATCGTTCTGTAGCACAAGCATTTTTCTTGATATTTAAGGAAGAAGGAATTTTCGCATTATGGAAAGGACATGTTCCTGCTCAGTTACTTTCAATTACATATGGAATGGGGCAGGTGATTGATTCATTAATCAAATAAAAGTTTCATGGGAAACCTTATAAAATCTTAATGTAACATAATAATTTGTTTTATCTACTCCAACGATTTGTTTAATCATATTTCTCCTAAAATTATAAAAAACATACAAATATGTAATTGTTAACATTTTACAGTTTTATTCATATCATATGTTTATGAAAGCATCTGATAATTTTTCACTGTTAAATGAATGGAAATATTCAATGAAATTTGTAGCAGGAGCAGGATCTGGCCTTGTAGCTACAACTTTATCATTTCCTTTTGACACTATAAGAACCAGATTAGTGGCACAATCGAGTAATCATCAAGTATACAAAGGAATATTTCATTCTTGCACGTAAGTTTCAAGAAATGATGACAACATTTTGGATAACGTACTATTTTATAAAATATCTATTTTAGTGCTATTCTTCAACACGAATCACCAAAAACTTTTTTTAATGGTCTATTACCGACTTTATTGCAAATTATACCGCATAGTGGTCTACAGTTTGCATTTTATGGACTTTTCACTGATACATATAAAAGATATAACAATGAAACAAATACAAGTTTTACTAATTCCATGGTATCTGGTAGTGCAGCTGGTATATTAGCTAAAACTGCGATATATCCGTTTGATCTCAGTAAAAAAAGATTACAGATACAAGGATTTGAACATGGTAGAAAGAATTTTGGTGCTTTTTTCCATTGTTCAGGACTTATAGATTGTCTCAAAGTGACATTAAAAACTGAAGGTGTAAGGGGGTTATTTAAAGGTTTACTACCAAGTCAGTTGAAAGCTGCAGCAACAACAGCATTACACTTTACCGCATACGAACAAAGTTTAATACTAATAAAAACAATTAGACTATATACTTCAGAAAAATAAAATGATTAGAATGCCAGATGATAGTTTAAGAATCAAATATATTACTATTGTCATTTGTATACATTTATATAGTAATATAAAAACAACACTTATTTATACAATAGATACATGAAAGTAATAAATAATCTTTGTTTATAAATCGTTTTTGTAACGCATTTATTATATACAGAAAATATTTGAGTTACACAAATTTGCAGATGCTGTATAAGTTTCTAATTTTATCATTAGTTGTATAAATTGAGAACCTAACATAATTCACATTTATAGTATAAGGGGAGCAGGCATTTCTGCTGGGGTTCCTTTTAAAACTGCCAGAATATTTTCAGCGGTAATTCTTGACATTTCCTCCCGTGTTTCAGTAGCAGCGCTACCAATGTGAGGTAGTATTACTAGTATAAAAAGAAAAGTAAAATGTATATAATTTACCATAAATGTACAAACATGTATCACCATCATGCTCACCACAATTATCTAATTTCAATAGTTCACTGTCCAATGGAATAGGTTCAGGAGTCATTACATCTAATCCAGCTGCTCTAATTAATCCTTTCTTCAGAGCTTCTGTCAGAGCAAACTGATCAACAACTTCTCCTCTACTAACATTCACAAATATAGCAGTTCTTTTCATTTTTTCAAATGCACTTTGATTAAACATTTGATTCGTTTCTGGTGTTAAAGCTGTTGTAACAATCACAAAATCACTTTTTCTTAGCAATTCATTAAATTCTATTTTTTCTCCTCCAAATTCGCGTGCTTCTTGTTTTATGCTTCTACTTGTGTACAATATTTTAGCAACATTGAAACTTTTAAGGATTCTTGCCACTTGCATACCAATACGACCTAATCCTACTATTCCAACAGTGGATCCAGATAATCCAGGACCACACATCCAAGTTGGTGACCATGCTTTCCATTCGTCCCTATATATAAAATTTTACATAAATTACACATATGTTCAAGTGTATGATTATCTATGTACAGCATTTCATACTTGTAAATAGCTCTATTTGCTTCTATTAATCGTCTAGATGTGGCTAATAATAATCCTATAGTTAATTCAGCTGTTGCATCTGTTAAAATACCAGGCGTATAACCAACTCTGATATTTCTTTTTTTTAGTGCTTCTAAATCCAAGTGATTAACACCAACCGACATAGTGCTAACAACTTTTAATTGTGGTCCTGCTGCATTCAAGATTTCGCTGTCTATTTTGTCTGTTAATAAACAATAAACTGCGTCAACATTTTTTATTTTTGACAACAATGCAGATCTTGGTATCGGTTCAGGTTTGTCCCAAAGAACAATATCACATCTAAAATAAATCATAGATGAGAAAATTATTCATAAAATAAATGAATTTCACTTAGCATGAAATTATTTTTAGCATTTTTTAAGAACACTTACTGTTCTTGCAGTAAACTTAATCCTGATTTTGGAATGTCTGGACGGGTGATTAAAACTGTTGGTCGATCCATTTTTGTCGAATAAAATGTAAAAACTTTCGTGACGTTACGCGTCAAAAGTTTCCGAGCAACTGAAAGTAATGACCCTTGATTTGTTTCAGTAACTCGAATCAAGTTAGATAAAAACATGTTTCAATTTTAATTATGATTACGTGTAGACGAAACAGCGTTTTTCATTGAATAAAAAATCGTAAGTTTGTATCGAATTTATCTTCTGTGAGCGATTATCAACATTAAAACCATTTTTCTTATAAAGATATTATACAATTTCTTTATGCTTATTTTTATTCATGTTTTGCACAGTATGAATATTACCGAACATATAACCTCACTTATTCTTATCGGAATATTCTTCGTTGTAAATAGTTCACGATGTTATTATTGAAATAAATAAACAGACGTGTACGTGAGTAATCGCGGTTTATATGCTTTTGATGAAACCAATGTTTATTTTTATGAATGTTAAAAAAATGTATAATACATAACCTTGATACTTTATGTAAAGTATTTGATTTTTTAGGAAAAGGAAAGTAGTATTAAAGTACTATTATATATTCTTCTGTTAATTTCGTATTTGTTCTACACATTCATCACAGTAAGCTTATAGTCAGACTTAAAAATTATAATACTTCATCCATAACCATATACACATACATCTAAAAACAATGTTTTCTATTTGTATAATAGAAATAAAGTATTTTGTAAGTGCAAAATTTGTTTTAATATCAAATCATTTGGTGCTCTGATTTTTCATAGCTATTGAAACTGTATTTTTCATTAACATTGCTACAGTCATAGGGCCTACACCTCCTGGCACTGGAGTTATATATCCAGCCACCTTTTTCACATTCTCAAAGTCTACATCTCCTACCAATTTGTACTTATCTCCTACTTTAACTTTTGTGATTCCAACATCGATTACACATGCTCCTGGTTTTATCATCTCCTTAGTAATTAGACCAGGAACACCAGCTGATGCTACTACCAAATCAGCCAATTTAGTATATTTTTCTAGTTCTGCATGAGGAGTATAGCGATGACATATAGTTGTAGTCATATCTAAGCCATGAGTTTTACCTACAAACGAATGTTCCATTGGAGTTTGAAATTTTATATGTATACTATAATTGTATATAATTATATTATTTTAAAAAAACTACATACCTGTACCACTAGCATGTAAGAGTAATGCAATTGGTAAACCAACATGTTTTGATCTTCCTACAACCACTGCATTTTTTCCAGTAGTTTCTATATTACTCCTAATTATTAATTCTTTGACACCCAATGCAGTTGCAGGAATGATACCACTGCTGTTTAATATTAAATTACCTATATTTTCTAAATGAAAACCATCAACATCTTTACTTGGTGCAATTGCCAAGCATACTTCATGTTCATTCATATGATTTGCTAATGGTAATTGTACCAGAATTCCATCGACTGTTGTATCTGCATTTAGATGATTGATTTCTTTAATAAGCTCTTGTTGTCTTATGTTTTCTTCCAATCGAATGGTATAACTTTCTATTCCTGAAACATTAAGGAAAGAAATGTATTAGCTATAACTTTGTTATTATTAAGCTTTTATTTCATAGATTTTTTAGAATGTTAAAATTTGTATATGTTAATAGTATCTTACCAATTGCACTTGCAACTTCCATTTTTTTTTGAACATATACTTTACTAGCTGGATTATTTCCAACTAATATAGCCACTAATTTTGGCTTCTTTCTTCCGTGTTTTGTTAAAGTATCGACAGTCATCTTTAATTCGTTTTGAATTTCATTAGCTATCCGTTTACCATCTATTATTAAAGCTTCTTGCCTGAAAGGAATGCAAAGAAACAAATTTATTATTACCATATTATTGTTGTGTAAGTTTCTTTGAGTTAGGTAAATGTTCTTCAAATTATAGTCAATATAAGCTACTTACAGAGTTAAGGAAGTATGTAAATGTCTTACAGACCACTGGGAAGCAGCTGTTAAAATTTTGTTCCATGATAACATTATATATAGAACGTAGTTATTTAAAGAGGAAGAAATGTCATTAAATTTTATACTGTCACTTTCGTTCTCGCAATTCTAATTTGGAATTACAGTATCGTAGTTTTTGTAAACAATGCGATGAGAAGAGTATATAATGTAACTGGTGTCAGTAATGATGGTGTCAGGAAAGCGTACCGAATGCTTGAAAGTAATTACTGTTCGAGTAAGCCTACAGTGTTTTAGTGAAAGTCAGTATTCCTTCTTCTTTTTTAAACGAGTTTCGCGCGGTCTTTCCCATTTTCACCGAGTATTGCCATAGACAAGACGTGTGTAGGATGAGTCTGGTCATTCGATGCCAGTTTGCGTTTTAGAAACTGAATTACTGACTTCAATATATTACATATATTACTATAATATATTAATTAATATGTCAAATTTATCATTTTATAATTGATATCAATGATAATTATCAATAATTATCGATCTTTTAATTAGTGGCGCCATCGGTGGGAAAACGCCCAAGTTTGTACGGAAATGGTTCTTGCTTTTCACGATAGATGGCGCCGTTTACCATTTTTTTTATAGCACTTGAAACTATAATAAATTTATGTTCAGAATATAAGTGGTTTTATTTTCAAGTTTAAATGATCACACGTTTGAACAACCAGGAGGCAATTTATTCATTAACAAAATCAATTAGAAATTCAAAAAGATAAACGAAAGAAAAGACGGTAAAAGAGATCCTCTTCTGAATCGATAAAGAAGTTTCCGCCAAAGTTCAGGTGATAATCCACTGCGGTGTCGATAAGAAAGTTACCATTAGCAGGTAACGGTCACATTTTTTTACCGACATTGCTTTCTCCATTTAACGTCAAAAGTGGGAACTAACTTTATTACAAACTTGGGTGTTTTGCCACCGATGGCGTCATTTACCATTTTTTTTTACCGACACTGCTTCTCGTCATCTAACGTCAAAAGCGGGAACTGACTTTAGCACGAACTTGGGCGTTTTGCCACCGATGGCGCCTCTAATTACAGGGCCGATAATTAATACTGTATAAAATAATTATTCATAAAATTGATAAATTTGACATAATTACACATGCGCTGGCCATTTTATTATTTTGTACACTTATTATTTAATTTTATTTTACGTCAATTATAAGGAAAATCAGTAAAAGAGAATATATCATTGAAAAATAACTCGACCTGTCTGCCGCGAGATGGCGATACCAAAACTGTGTCCATGAATCGAGGGAATATACGAACACAGGGTGTCCCAAATATGTTGGAGGTCCTTGAAAGGGGTGGTTCGGGAGGTGATTTGAAACAACTTTTCCCTTTGCAAAAATGTCGGATGGGGCTTCGTTAAGTAGGTATTAATAAAAAAAACCCGACCAATCAGAGCGCGCGGATACCGTTGGAGCGGCCGCGTCAATATCCTTCGATGATGCACATCGAGTCACTTGTTCGCGTACAAGAGCGGCTACCTAGCGCGTAGCCATCGCTATCGCGGCCGCTCCTCGGACAACAATTTCGCTAAGGAAAAAGTTATTTCAAATCACCTCCTGAACCACCCTTTTCAAGGACCTCCAACATTTTTGGGACACCCTGTATATTGCAAAAACTAAAACTACCCCTAAAATGAAGGAGTCACGTAGGACAAAGTAATTTTAAGAATAATGGAAATAATTGTATCGCGATGTATGGATTCATTCGCTAGACTGAAGATGTTTATGCATTTATAGCAATTGGAAATCCGAGAAAAATCTATGAGAATATATAGAAACGGAAAAATATCCCAAATACACGTTATACCGTTTATAAAAAGATGAGACACTTACATTTTAATTACAATTTCTCTACCCGTGCCTACGAAAATATGAATTAACATAAATCGGACTATAACGAACAATTGCTTGTTTTCCCTCCCGTTGACTTGCCCGATGTTTTTCGTCGCTTCCGTTCTCAGCGTTTTCCTTTTTTTTCCAAGTGCGCGTCGCGTCGATAGAGGAGGTTTGACGAGCTGGAATGGGGTTGACACTGGAAGACACCGACGGAAGAAGAGGGATTCGATGGCTTAGGAGAAATCGCCGCTAATGGCTCGGTCGAAGGATTTCCTGGCGTTCTGCGAGCTTTTTTACGGGTTTTCCGGGCCCGCCGATCTAAAGCGCTCACTCAAATCAAGATTCTCACCTTTTCAGCGGCAGATGAGGCGAATGGCCAACCGTCCCAGCTTCTGCGCCGTTTTTTCTTCATCCATCTTTCGTCGTTCCCCGCCTTCTTCGTCCTCGATCCCGTCCTTTCCTTGCCTTTTCGAGAGTTGAGCCCTTTCAGGACCTCCGTTTTTTCGGCCGAGCTAAATGGCTGGTTTTTTTCGGCCGGCACCTCTCGGACCATCTTGTACTCCGAGGACGAAAGACCTTTCTTCCCTGTAATCTGAAATTGACGTAATGATGATGGATGCCCCGGAGGTTGAAATTAACGGCCACTGTTCCGCTAAGCGTTGACGCGAGCAACTGGGGAACTTCTAAATAACGACCGAATATACGCATTTATATCGACGATGGGTCTGGCGTGGAGATTGCCACGATCGATTCTAACGCTTCGTTTTTAGCCCCAGTAAAATTCGAAATCTAAATTTCTCAACGCCAACTTTCGAATGAATCTGTTTAATTTTAGGAACGTGTACTCAGTTGGGACCTTGTACATGTACAAATCGAAGAGCGATCGAACCTATCATTTAATTTAACACGTAGATTGCCGTGTCGCCCATGTATGGGTTTCGCTCGAGAACTAAAAAGACTAATTCTGCAAAGTAGACATCGAAGGAGATGAATTTAAATGAAATTCATGAATTTTGATGTAGTTACAAAAATAAACGTCACGATGAATGTTTGATTGGTGCAGTTCCCGATGGTTAGTAAATGAAATTGAATCGCGGTTGAAATGTTAGCGCGGCGGTAAACGTGTTAATCGAGAGTTGGAATAGGAAAGTCTGTAGGCGGTCGCGTGTCAATATCTAAGTGAAATTCAATAATGCCCGAACAATTAAGGGTGGCGCTAGGGGTGCGCATCTAGCGTAGCAAGAACACCCGAGCCGAACGTCGGATGCCGAGAGCCGGGTAGCAAAGACGACACGGCGTACTCGTAGGGGTGGTGTTGGGTTTTAAAGGGTGGGAAGGATACAATATTTCAGAGTGGCGACAAGGAGCAAGCCTGCTTGCCACTGGCAAATTAATTAAATTCCTACAGGCCCTGGCTGGAAAGGCTAAGGGATGGTCGGCGAACCGGGCAAGAGTTCTGTGTTCAGCCCGTGGGAATATTGTAATTAAGATATGCACTTCTACCCTCCATTTTCCTTGTACGGTTTCCCTCTCGGCCTGCCGCGGTATGATTTACGCTCCGGAGGACGCGGTATTATCTGTTTCGACTGTTTCGAAATTGCATCCTATTATGGCCAGGTCGAGGTTGATGTGCCGCGAGATGTTTCTTCCGGTCTGTTGCTTGACGTGCTTCGGTTCTCGCCGCCGTTTTACATCGCATTTGTATTCGCTTTACGACCCGGACACCGCGGAATCAACGAAACTCTATGGCACGGCCTCGACAGGATCACGTATAAGCAAAATCGGACAAGGGCGACGTAAGTTGAGCGAGATACAATTGCCATTAATTTTAACACATTGATCGCCGCGTCGCTCATATATGGGTGACGGTGCTTTTCGCTGAGAAAAACGAAAACTATTGATTCCGAAAGTCAAGTGTCACAGAAAACGAATTCAAATGAAATACTTGAATTTTGACGAAGATACGAAACTAAATACCAAAGTAAATGTTTCATTACGCAGCTTCCGATAGTCTGTAAACAAAATTAAATCGCAGTAGAAATTTTCAAGAGTATTAGTCTGCCGGTGAACGTGTCAACGGAGCGTGTATTTGTGGAAGGGTGTGTGTGTTTTTTTTTTTTTTTTCTTAGGAAGGGTGCAAGCAAAATGTTGTTTCGCGATTGCAAAGTAAGCGTAGATAAGTCGGTTTTCAATCACTGTCGTTCAATCTATGTATATGACATTTAAACTGTATTTAATATCGATCCCTGAAGACATTTCAAATCTTCCAAGACCGACGCAATCTCGACAAATTACTAACCGTATCGCATTCTTCGCGCGTTCAAATTAATTCCGTTTCATTAATTGAGAAACTTTAGAAACTACTTTTTTTTTTCGACTGCGATTGACGTGAAAGAGAGACGACGTTCGCAACGTGACGATGCCAGATTCTGGCTTTTTAGGGTAGCGTTCGTTTACGTTCAAAGGTCCATTAGCGGGCTACGTTAATTAGTATTTAACTTTCTCGCTGAAGCAAAGGGTATTTATTACGCTTTGTATCAGGTGTGTGCAAACTAAATTTGAGACGTGATTACGATACCTAACTTTGGTTAATTTCCAATTTGTACATGGAGACGGCTGAACCGTGCGCCGTATTTAAAGCATCGCTTTGCTTAATTCTCGATCAATAATTTCGGCAAACAGAGGGGCTGGGCCAAGAATTTACCATGTTACAGCGAACTGTTTAACAAAGATTGAATGTTGACTCGCGAAGAGTCAAAGTTTGTTCACCCATAGCATTGCAACGTTTAATTATATTTCTGGTTACCAAATGCGAACGTATAACGACGAATAATATTCCAATATTTCTTTCAATTATTTCTAGTTACTCGCGTTCAAATGCGAAGACATCGAAAGACACCCTCTGGTCGAGACAGGCGTACGCGAAACCGCGGTAGAAATAGCGTTAAACAGATTCGTCCCTCTATACCTGACCCAGGATCGTTAATTCGCGCAATGAATATTTCCCGACCGGATTAGACGAAAACTCTTGTCCGCCTAATTAATTAAATTTCGCGTTTGATGTGTGGTCCGTCGACGATATTCGAGTTAACGTTGCCGACTCGACGCAAAGGACGCACGGTCCTTTGGCTGAATATAATTCACAAGGACGGAAATGTACTGCCAATTTTCCGATGTCATTCGAGTGTTTGCCCGACGGGGCCGGCCGGCGAGATCCAAGCTGTGTCCATGCCCGAAAACGTTTATTCTCTCTTTGCTCGGAATCCACCGACTGCGGCATTACATGCTCGCAGTTTGCGAATATCAGCAAACAGCCGACGAGAATCGTGCCCGCGTCGTTAACTTTCTCTCGAGCATCATTTCTTTTCGTTTCGTTTTCGAACAACTCCGTTAATTCGTCCCCACGGTCCATTCAAGCTCGTTTCAGTAGCCGTCGCTGTTTGACGAATCAAGGTCGTTAGAAATGATCAATTGTTGAC